ACTAACCGTACTTGGTTTATTTCTTCCTCTCTTTCTGTGCCAAATGGGCGCGAAAAAAAAAACATCAAAATCCAGTCGAGTCCAGTCACGAATGCAGTTCTTTCTATCGAACGACTCTCAAATTGCTGAGGTACGAGTACGTACCAAGTGCGCATTCGAACTACTCGTAAGGGTACAAGTACTTGTACTTAAGATCGCTACTTGTAACTCGTATGGATAAAGTAGAAGTACCAGATACTAGTTACATCAGTTATCCGTTCTGTACTCGTCCCGTTTTTCACATCGTTTTTTCCAACTCGTTTGTTTGTTGACGATGACAACCTGACTATTACTGCCAAATTCTAAGTGAYCCGTGCCGAGGAAAACCATAGTGCTTTTCCTTTCCTCCCATACTGCAGAGAGATAATCACCGCAACATGCCCGACGTGAAAGACGTCTGCGAGGAGTTGCTCCCCGACTTGGACGAGGATATTTTCGATTATGTCGTTGGAATGTTGGAAGACATCGATTTCACCGACGATGATACTGACGACACAGCGGAAATGATCTCGKGACTCTTGGAAAGTGCGGAATACTGCTCCTCCGACGAGGACGCATTGGCGTTGGCCAAAAAGCTGCTGTCAAGGCTCAAGGACCAGAACGGAGGCGGCGGTGACTCGACCTCGGGCGACATGCCACTCAAAACCATCAAGGCCCTGAAAATTCAGGACACGATTCAAGAAGCCCCGATCGATCCCCCCAAAACCAAAACGAATAGCATGATCAAAGAACTCAAAGAAGGTGACGAGGCGATCTCGAAAAAAGCACAGAGACTCGCGAGCCGAAGGGGCGGAGGTGCGTCTGGAGGAAGCTCCACGGCTTCGTCCAAAACGAAAAGCAACAAACCCACGGCTCTGGAATTGGCGGAAAAGGAAACCGCAGAGCTCGAGGCGGAGCTAGCAGCGGCCCGTGTGGCTTCGGTGCGAGAACGTACGAGACTTGGTGCCTATCGTGGATCCCTGGACGCGGCGTCCTTCACCCTGCCCAATCCCGGTGGGGGTATGCCCCTCTTGGAGGATGCGGCGTGTCGGTTTGTCTGGGGAAGGCGGTACGGATTGATTGGCCGGAATGGCGTCGGAAAGTCGACCCTGCTTAGGGCCATGGCGGCCCGGCGGGTCGGAGACGTCCCMGCYAACGTCACGGTTCATTACGTGAGCCAGGAGGTTTCCTTGAGCTCCGAGCAGCGGAAAAAGACCCCAGTCGAGTGCGTAGTCGACGCCGACATYGAGCGAAATTTGTTGACGGAAGAATTGAAGGTTCTCGAGCAGCTGGCATCGGAAGGAGAACTAGATATAGATGGATCCAAGCGCCACGGGGACATCCTGTCCCGCCTCGACGAGATCGAAGCCGATTCGGCACCCCGAAGAGCGAAAGAGTTGCTCGACAACCTTGGATTCAGCGAGGAACTCCAGAGCCGATCTCTTTCGGAACTGAGCGGAGGATGGCGTGTCCGAACAATGCTTGCTGCTGCTATTTTTGCCAAGCCCGATCTACTCCTGCTAGACGAACCCACAAACCACCTCTCTATTCTAGCCGTCATGTGGCTGGCTCGCGAACTGTCTACCTCGGAAACCTGGAAGGAGCGAATCGTTGTTCTCGTGAGCCACGATCGGCACTTCATGGACGAGGTGTGCACGGACTGTCTTCACGTATCGGGGGCTGCACGAAAGCTGACCCAATCGAAGGGGAACTACTCGCTGTGGGCAAAGCGCCGCAAGGACGAGCAAGCCCTTTTTGCGAAGGAACAGGCCAAGCGTCAGGAAGAAATCGATCGGCTGCGAGAATACGCCGGCCACGGATTCAAATACGGTGGATCTTCTTCTCAGATCAACAAGATGAGTATGAAAGCCAAACWGGCTGACAAACTYGAACAGGAACATGCCGAACACGCCACGGAACTTGCGGCTCTGCAAGAAGACATTGAATTGTAAGTAACATTGTATTTGCACCACGAAGCCCGGAGAAAATACTCGTCTATTCTTCTCTCTAATTTWTTCTCTTCTTTGTTTGAATCATGCACAATTTCCAATGAATTAACAGGCCTCTGAAGATATCGGCGGGTGGAGAAATTGATGGATTTGTCGTCCAGCTTAAGGACGTCGGCTTCGGCTATCCTGGRGCCACACCCGAACGTTTGTTCCGTCACTGTGAGTTCGGAATCACTTCTAAATCACGAATCGTGCTGCTGGGTGAAAATGGAAACGGGAAGACCACCCTTGTCAAGCTCATCACTGGATCTTTGGAGCCATGCGAAGGAGAAATCCTTCGAAATCATCACGCGAGATTTGCCCTCGTAAACCAGCACCACGCCGATCAGATTGATCTAAGCCTGACACCCCTCCAATTCTTGAGATCAAAGTTTCCCGGGGATGGTAGCTACGAGCACATGCAAACATTGCGTGGCCACCTGTCTAGCTGCGGGGTAACGTCTGGATCCTCGAATAACGCTTCGGGAAAACGAGTGTTCGACCTGCAAAATACCCCGGCCTCGGCGCTCTCGGGTGGCCAGCGATCACGCGTGGCACTGGCGGCGGTTTCTTTTGCCCGACCGCACGTCCTAGTCCTGGACGAACCCACCAATAACTTAGATCTAGAGAGCGTTGCTGCCCTAGCAGAGTGCGTGAAGAATTTTGAGGGTGCTGTCATTTGTGTGAGTCACGACCAATTCTTCGTTCAATCGGTCGTCAACGAGGCGTGGGTGGTTTCCGGAGGAGTTGTAAAGCAAGTKGAGAGCTTTGCGGCCTATCGTGCTGCACAGTTTAAGGTCTTGAGCAAAGACAAACAAAAAGGAAGGTAATTTGAGAATAWTGTTGCTGATTGAAAGAGTCAAGTCCATATCATTCCAAACTRTTGTAACGAAAGGGACTTGATAGTGGTTGTACGTTTTCCTATTGATTAAATAGCAATTGGYGAAATTGTTAAATTTTTAAAATAAGACATGSTTTGGCGACAAGAACTCAATAACAATAGTCTGCCTTTTTTCTATGAATACACGTGAAATATAACTATTCCAACTAAACATCCCTGTTKCGGACAACGGAATGCTTTTGTTTTTCGTTCTCCATCAATCGTCGTTTCTATGCCGTTCCAATGTATCAAGCCCATCTCCTCCCAAACCATTTTCTCCAACGTGACTTCCATAACTGTAGGACGCAGGTAGGCTTAATCGAACRTTCGAGTGGGGCAGCGGCATGTAGATTTTAGAGACACCGCTCCAAAAGATGTAGGCTACAACAATGGTCAACACGGGAAGCGTCGTAAGAGAAAAGATACATCCGTATTGAAAGACATTGAAAGTGGTGAACCCGGCAGCACAGAAATGGGTGATCAAGATGGTAAGCAACGCCTGGTTGCCCCCCGTACGAGTATTGCCAAAGTAATGTCCAAAGGGTCTCGACAGTGGGTTTATGTCGGACAGGGCACCACCACCACGTGGAAACAAGACGCGTCGGCGTACTCCAAAAAAGGCGAAGAGCATCCAAAAGATATCGAGGAAGAAAAAGCAGAAGGTGTTCAAAGCGGATACCATGAGCGAAGGAACCTTGGGACAAGATGGCTGGTAGAGCACACCAGCATCGTACGTTTCACTGGCCAACAACGACCCGAACATCAAAATAGCATGAAGTCCTCCGAAACCAACACCAGCGGCGATTCCGCAAGCGGCATCGTTGAGAGACAATTTGTTCTTGGCAACCTGGACGTTTTCATCATCATCGCTTCTATCATTGTTTCCKGCCTGTTGCTGGTGTTCTCGTTCCTCTTCCTCCGATTTTTCGATTGACGCTTCAATCACATTTTCCACTTTGTGATATGTCGTCACAAACAGACATCGGAAGATAAATTGAAAGAATACCCCGGGAACGATAGCTGCCCAAACATTACTCAAGCCAATTGTGGGATCTAGAATGTACCAGCAGAGCGAGGCAGCCGATGCCGCCAATAAATAGAAAAACCCTGCAGAGATTGACACAATYAGGAGTTGTGGTTTGGGAAAGACAATCTGGAAGAAAAAGCAAAAAAAGGGGGCCAAACCAATGGCGGCAGAACCCAGTACCAACGCTTTCGTGTCGAGCGAAGAGAATAATCCCATTGTTGTGTGAWCTCAGATCTTCAATGCGATAACGTGTAATGCGATAACGTGCAATATACTCAAACCAAATGGCATCCAATCGAATGAAAGTTGTTRAGCTGACTTGTTCTTTGGCTTAGTAGTTAGAAGCTTAATGTACTCGCGGCCCCTTTGATCAATCTTTTCGCCGTTGTTTAGTGCTTATTGACTTTTCTTCCAAAGGTGTGTCTTTCAATTCCTTTTGTCTCGTCACTTGTCGTGAGAGAAAACACAACGGATAGATGAGGTTGGCTGGAAATTCGTATTTGAAATGAAATTGAGCGTCGGGCGGGCGACCAAAGTTTAACTGACTTTTCATGTTGACAGATAGTGTACTTCGTGCTGTATTTCACTATGATTCATTCGACTAAATAAGTCATTTGTTGACCCTCAATTCGTAATTGTGATCCCGAAAGATAAATTATGACCCCCCCAAAGCGGTTTCAGTTGGATCTTGTGAACGAACGACGACTGAAATTTTCGGACTTTCTGGAGACAACTTTTAGTCTTGTTTGCCGCAAATACCGTTCATCTGTTCCCGGGAGAATGATTGGACATCTGTTGGCARTCTGCTTTAGCGACAGGGATTGAGAGCTTGAGAGAGGGCAAGAACGGTTTTCRATGAAGGAGCGAAATATCGTGAAAACTCCGGGACATGGGAATTCGAGTGCCATTYTGAAAGTGACGTAAACCTGTACTAGACTTGTCGTGAAATTGCACCCAAAGTGCACCCAACCAGATAAYACGGYAGATCGGCAGTTCGCTGGAATATTCTTCCAGTCGCAGGTCGAAGTTGTCCCATCGCTTATTTTGATTGAAAGGGTCTACTTGCCGTTATCCAAACTCAAAGGGCCAAGGAGACAAACTTGCAATGGCGACTTCGTTCGCAGTATCACCGCATTCTTTGTCGTCACCGGCACCAGGAAYGACAACGATGGAGGGCGACGATGAAACAAAAGACCTGGATACTCCGAAGACCATGATGACTTCAGATTCCTCTTCGTGCGACGCACACTACCTTGAGACGCCTCCTCCGATGCATGGAAGGTTAGGGAGGATCATTCTTTCGTCGGGCGCATACCCAACCWYCTCGGATGGATCCACAGCAACCAGTTGTTGCAGCGAACACATCGAAACAGGCTGCCCCGATGGGAGTCCACCAAATTCGCAACTGCACCGGAGCATACGACGCGCTGGGAATCATTCTCAACTGCAACGCGTTTCCACAYCATTGTTCTCTCAAGAGATAGATGAAAACGATGAGTCCTTGGAGATGCTTTTAAATGCACTGAACAAATTGAATCGGTTGGCTACCTTGGATTCTGCTGAGTACCAGCAACGCTTGCTGGAAAATTCGCTACCATCTTTGGAAGGCGAGAAGTCGAATTCCATATATTGCCCTTCCCTWTCCCAGGGCAACACGCGGACGCAAATAAGGCTGCCATCGCAACCCATTCTGACACCTCTCGTTCAATTGTMGATGTCGATTCATCGCTTGCACGCTGTTATTGCCAATGTCACTCGAGAAATCGATGGGCACACCGATGAGGTRAAGGAACTTCAGTCGCARCTCGAAGTTTTGAAGAAACGCAATCGAAAACTAGAGAGTGYGACAAAAATTGTTCACAAAAGAAACCTAAAACTCAAGAAACAGTCCCARCACGATCGTAAGGTGGCAAAGCTGCTTCAGCACAAGGTGCACAAGTACGAAGCCCAGATCGAGTCTCAAGACTTTGARCTGATGGCGAGCAAAGTTTATCAACACGAAATTCAACTGCAACTCACCAAAAGTCAGAAAAACAACGCTACGGGATGCAGTGGTATCAGCGACGACCACTTAACACGAGAACGCCTTGACTCGAACATGAGTGACTTTTTCGATGTCGAGAAGGAAATCGAAGGCGTGGCATTAGCTAGCGTTCAATCCGATSTATCAGAAACCACAGCAGAAAATATTGAAAAGGAAAGTAGCGACATCATAGCAGATACATCTCGCAGTGCCGCTATTTCGAAGACGAATGCAATGTCTGATTATTCTTCATCAGCATTACGTTTCTCTGCTGATCGAAGCGTCGTAACCAAGAAAAGCACCAATAGCTCAAACAAAGAAGCTTCCTCTCCCCAAAGCATACGACATCCCCCTAGCACGCCCGAGACGGGTGACCGKAAATCTTCACTTGATGCAGTAGACAAGCTTGACAAGAATTCGTCAAAAGATGCCAAGACTCCAAAGGCTGAAAACAAAGGGGCCATGTTATCAAACCGCTTTTCAATGTTTTTGGGACAGCGATCCATTCCCAAYTAYAACCTGAAAATGACCCCGCCGTGTAATCTGCAGTTTGTCGAGTTAGAAGTCAAATCAATCTATCAGGAAAACGAAGAAGGGGGTAAACAGTCGCAAGTACCTGAAAGCCAAGGCTTAGTAGAAGACCATGGCATCTTGCAGACACATGATGATTCGTCGCAGTCTTTGACTCGAGATAACGCTACGTCTCAGAAGAAGGACACTATTTTTGCTGTTTGTGGTTTTGAAGGCTTCAACACTGAAATCAATATGAAACCAACTTTGGGAGCACGATTGGCTAAGATTAACGGCCGAACAATCGACAGGGATTGGACATTAGAAAAACTCTATAGGGATTTGGAGGGAATCAGTAACAATACGAAAGGGGGCAAGACAAAACCAATAGTGCTAACTTTTCGAAATGAAATATGGGACAAGGAACAAGCTAATAGACTAAGCACAGCTATTCGACAAGGCATCACGGAAGCTGCAGGTACCATCCCACAAAAAAATCCAGCGGGAACCCAGCATCATCGGYGTTTGTCAAACACGAAGAGTAGTAATGAGAGGGATGGCAGCTACAAGAGCAATGCGAGTGAACACTTCCAGCGTGCACGAACTGCCAGTGCCGACAGCGTTGGGAAAGCCATAAATGGGTTTGGAAGTTTTCTCCAGAATTTTGGTCAAATAGAGAGCGGGTGCTGAAGTAGAGACGAGTGTGGTTGTCACGCAATTTCGTCTAATCATCATCTAGAATAGCAAACGTTATGCATTGCAACGCAGTGAAGAAATATAATGCAGTTCATGATCAATAGAAAAATTCCAATCAAACGTTCATCTCTCGAATTGTATTGTTTCACCACCTTTCTTCGATAGTTCTTGGTTGCACTCTAAAAAGATGTAAATCAAAGGGTATGGCGGAGTTAGATTCCGCTGTGAGTAAATTCTTATGGAACGCTTAATTTTCTAAATGCTAAGTGCTATCACATGCGCCAAACGAGAGGATATAGAAGAWCGCGATTGCACATGTGAAGAGACGTCTTTGAAACAGATCGTTTATCGCACTGAGAGGAGACGAAGCCATTTTACCAATGCCGATCAGAGCATTGGAGGAAAATTTGAGGGCGAAAGTGCGACACCAGAATTACTCTGATAGGTGCCGAATCAAAGTGACCCTTGCTCTTCATTGCGTGTATGCGTCACTCAAGTTCACAAAGCCAGCACTTGCWTTAGTCTCTAGAGGTGAAATTCATTCTGCAAGTGAAGAATTAAGAGGGCAGAGATAAAGGTTTGCCATTATGTTACCCACGTGTTAAATAATAATAACATTTTATAGAACCTCATTTGCGCGATGATTGAAGTGGGGTACTACCTAACACTACCACCGTCATGGTTTCATCTCAGTCCGAGTGGTACCATACCAATCGGAAGTGATTAGTAGTACATAGCATGAGTAACCGTCGCCAACAATAACGCATGCGGACTTGCTTMGGCGACTACGTACCAAACAGCTAYTWGTGAGGAGGYACGGTTTTGGGCCAGACGTAAGAATGAATGTTTCGCAGATCTATTTTAATMATGAAGCATTCGGTATCAGCCTAATCGTAATTGCAATTGTCGAATTTTTTAATTTCGGTGGGACGATTTTSAAAAAATGACCTAGTAAAATTGAAAGTTCTGCGATGGCATTCAAGGCACTTATTAATTATCGGATTCAATTTGAAACTTCAAATTGATGATGACTACTYCTCTTAATGCAAAACGCCAGWATTCTTAAATAGAGTATRTACTTTCGTCATTCAAGTGCTAATAAATACCCCTTAAGAAAAAGAATATCTTTCATCCCCTATCATACTATYAAGAATCTCGACTTATTGATCGCCTTTTGAGTCAACAAGTAAGAGTGCAATTARAGGTCTTTCAAAGATAAAAATAATACTGTATGCAATTACTTAGCGCAAGCACATTTTCGAACTTCAATGTACGACGACGAACCGAGATTTTCACTGATTTCTTGAATTTTTTTTATCTTTGAAATCCCACGAGTGGATGCACTTTGACGCTGCTTAAAGGAACGCACAYCTGCCGTTTGTGCACGATTATGGAAATTTTCCCTCTACTGTAAAGTCTCAAATGATCACAACATATTAACATTTCAATTATTATTTGTTTGTATGAATTTATCACGGGTGATAAAGCAAGCCTCCACATCCAATCATCACATGCACAAGCATATAGGGATATACAAACAAATATACAACAACAAGAACCTACGCATACTTGATTATAAGAACGTCGGCAAGATACGAGACGAAAATGCAATCTGCTGACTTTTTAGTAAACTCTCCATTGATCGATACGCCCTTATCGAAAGAASATGTTTCCTGGACGYACGACGATTTCGTCCCAYTGAAGGAAGTTGAGAGTTCTAGAGGATGGGGTTACAGGGGGGCACCCAGGATTCAAATGCACGACACAACATTGTGTTCCGATGAAAAGATGGAAAGGAGTCTCAATCGATTGGACTCAATTGACTATGATATCAATGGCGCATCACTTTGCAACAGTATTCACAACACCAAAAGCTATAATGGCGACGGCRGTGAGAGAGAAATAAAASATGAAAAGAGTAGAATAGTCCCGAAACTAGCTGTGAGCCAGAGGGAGATACRTGGGGGAGAACCATCTAGTCAGCAACCAAAAGCCAAAATTGAAATCAAAAATGCTATGGAAGATGGTGAATATGACACCAAGAATAACCCTGAAAGAATAGAAGCAATAAAAATGAAGGWGATTGATACTCGGCCTCTCTCTGCTAGGGAACGCTTGCAACGTAGACAGCGATTGAATCACTCTAGATCTTTTCGAGTCAAAAACAGAAGAAACTTGTCTAGCAGACAACTATTTCAACACGAAGACGGCAGGAGTAGAGATCTTCCCAAAAGTCGCAACAGAGATCATATTGGGACCGACGACGAGGACAAAACAAGAAACGAGGATACTAGCATTTCGGAMTCGTTTCTTGTCGAGGACACCGATACGCCGTTCGCGTTTCGTCGCAGTATGGCATCCAGTGAACGGCAGAGAAGAATGTATTCATCCAGAACGAACAGYATACCACGAGACATTGTAGTAMACTCTCCATCTGATGCGGATAGCGATGATATGACCGGCTCTGCTATCAAATATAGTGGAAGCGAACGCTGYACTCGTCAATCTTCTAGTCGAAGATTGACCATGACTCCCAAAAAATGTGCATCAACGGAGCAAGAAGAAGGATCTGAAGAACGTACTAATAGCCATCGAAGCTCTAAAAGCAAAAGAAGTAGCTTGCATGGGAGCAACRGAAAGTCGGGGCAATCAAGACGTCTCCGAAAAAATGGTGCAAGTAGTCCAATGGAAGAACTGGAAGCACTTATTAATTCTACCGTGCCGAGAAGTGTCGATGGCATTTCACGTCGTCGCGAAAGAAGGGCTACGCTGAGTTGTGCCACAAACCATACCAGGTCCACTAGTAGAAGGACCAGTGTTTTGAGTGGTCGCACAAACCACACTAAGTCAGAGCGCCCTAGAAGGTCGAGTACTATGAGCGGTCACACGAACCACACTAAGTCGGAGCAAACTGGTAGAAGGGCCAGTATGAGCGGTGGCACAAAACAAAACAAGTCGGAGCGCAAAGGTAGAAGGGCCAGTATGAGCGGTGGCACAAAACAAAACAAGTCGGAGCGCAAATGTAGAAGGGCCAGTATGAGCGGTGGCACAAACCACAAGAGGCTGGATCACCGAAGTAGAAGGTCCAGCATGGATGGTGTTAAAACCAAAACGAATTCTAATCTCAACAGCAGAAGGGTCAGTATGAGTGGAGGAATAATCACTGGCGTTGGCGATGCTACAAGGAGACCAAAAAGTGCAAATTGTATGAAGAAAGCGCCTCGTAGATCTTCAGATATAGGTCCTCGGCGACCTCAGTCTTTGATCGACMTTGTTATACTAGTAGATCATGAATCTTCCACTTTGAGTACAGAGTCGGACTCTACCACAAGCAGTCATAGTAGTCTCTCCTGTTCTTTGAACTCCCGCGAAGAATGTCGCTGGCTGGAACAAGTAAACGATGACAAGGGACCTCGTAAGTGTCGTCCGGACAGGAGTCAAAATAAACGAAGAGGAATTCGTGTTTCAGGTAGCTTTCAAAAGACAACAAATGACTGCAGGATTAGCAAAGAACTCGCTGATAACAATACAATTTTTTTWAAAGGGAMTGAGAGCAARCATACGAGGAGTCGCCGAAGAACCATYGGGCTGGCATAATTAAATAATAYAGACACAATTGCTACTGCTCGAAACTACTCTACTACATACATGGATAAAAATGGAACAGATCGTGGCTACGTGCTCTAATGATCTTGCATAACGGCAAATGCAKGAAGGGATCAGTAACTCCAATTTCTACCTGAGTTGTTTGTTTTYTCTCCTTCACCATTGAAAATGAGGCAAGACTACGGTGGGAGATACTGAAAGTCCCTTCGCATATGTGTCTTCCGAATGTTTGTTAAAGTCTTGGAGGGCTGCCTCGCATCCTTCTGCCAGAGAGGACGCCACAGAGATCTCCTGATTATGGATTCCGTCCTCRACGACCCAAATGGAGTCAATACCTGTCGCGGTAGCYCCAGTCACATCCGTCTCAAGTGCATCTCCTACCATGGCTACGCGCGGTTGTATGTCATTATTGCTGTTTTCGATGGAAGAAAGGGCGATTTCATAGACGCTGGGGAAGGGTTTACCCAGTGACAAGATCAAGTCTTCTGCYGACATACCAGCGGTTTGCAAGAGTCCTTGGTATGCCACCCCAATGGTTCCCGGCATGGGGCTCTTGTCGGCATCGGGACGAACYTTGTCAGGGTTGCAAACCACCATGGGAGGAGGGTTTTTGAGTTTTGAAGCTCGCTCAAGGGTGCTTCGATAGGCCGACCAGTAGGCATCTTCGTCSACCTTTTTGTCGGCGCACTCGGTGGCCGAGAGGACCAGGAATGTTCCCCGAGCGACTATCAAATCGGCCGTTTCGATGTTTTCGGCGAGTGCCCAMCCGCACGAATTAAGGTAATCCTCGTCTCCATCACCGCTTCCAAAACAAAATGCTGATAACTGCTCTCTTTTGCTTTCCCGTAGCTCTTGGAAAGCCCMAGGAATKTTTTTCGGGACCCAAGATGATTTGAATTCTTTCGAATCCTCGTCTTGCGAAGAAGACGCTATGGAACGAAGCAGGTGGTGAGCGACTTCTCCGCTTGTGATAATTTCCTCRAAGTCATAGTCTGGCGAGAAACCTAATTTTTTCAGCATTTTCACAGAATTTTCTCGTCGCTTGGACGAATTCGAGAGGATGATGAGTTTCTTGCCCGCCTCTTTTAGCTTCTGTACGACCTCTGGGACACCCTTATACGGCCGTATCCCATCATGCATGACGCCCCACATATCAAGCAAAAAGACGTCGTAGTCATCGGCAATTTTCCCTATCCCGCCGGCGTTATCCTCCGTTAGGAATCGGTACTTTTTGTCTGATGATATCGTCATCGAAGAATGTGCATCGTCKTCAAGAGCTGACGAAAACAAGCCTTTCTTTGAATTGTATATTCGTCGTCTATGTTGTCCAAGATGTTGTCGAAAGCCTTTCGTARCAGCAGTCAACAGTAGCATGAAGGGAAAAGTTTTCATATTTTGYTTCACCTCCGGTGTTGTTGGAATATTGCAGCTTCCTGTTTCCTCCTCCTCTGTCGGATACCACCGTGTGAGCGAGTAACGGACGGAGGAATGCTTACCTGTCTAACATGTTGCATTAGTTGTAATGTACAGAACGTACTTCGTACAGTACAGTACAGTACAGTACAGTACAGTACAGTACAGTACAGTACAGTACAGTACAGTACAGTACAGTACAGTACACGAACTTCGTTCTCGGTGGACGTACTGCGTACTACTACTAGTGTCGGAAAAAGAAAGATTCACGAGCAGGAGGCGATGACGTCTTCGAAATTGAATTCGATTTTGGAGATACCACCGGTAAATTTACCAAATCCAGATAACCTTAAGAGCTGACTGGCTTATCCCTAACGAAGAACAATGATCCTTGTATGTGCKAAATCCTTTTCTAGTGATGGCTTTTCGAGAGATCTTCTTTCAGAGGGAGTTACAGTACAAGTAGTACCTATGGTTTAGTACAGAACAAAAATACGATCCTTCTTGCTGTATWTCTTTATTTTTTAGTACCTTTCTTGGATTCTGAAGAAAGATAAAAGAGTAAAGAGCGAAGAAATGGTATCAACCATATCGAAACAGATATGTATTCAATACACTTATTGCTTRTCGATTTGGTGAGGCCGTCTTTTGTGAAAGCAAGAAAKWAAAAAAGTATCAGCCACAGGAAAAAACACCATGGTACGAGATTATTTTCTATCGCGTTCGTCGGAACAGAAATCCAGTGATTCGTCATCTCTCGGAGTTATATTCTCTTTGGTAGCATTGGGAGCCGTAGTTGGTGCTACCATTACCTTCCGTATATCGACAGCAGATGCAAAAGATAATGAAAGGTATCAAAACGAAACGGAGGACATGGTCCCCAGGTGTACTTGCGACGCTATCACGAAACGAGAGCGCCTTCCTCTGTTGGTGATCTTGGTTCGTCACGGAGAAAGCGAAGGAAACGTCGACAAAACCGCTTGGTGGAGGAAAGCTGACCACGATATCGAGCTGACCGACAAGGGCAAGCAGCAGGCCGCTGATGCCGGAAAGCGGATTGAGGCTATTTTCTCTGCCTACGACAACAATTGCGATAGCGAGAATCTTGTTGGCATCTCTACCATCGAAGATGAGGCAAACGAAAATGAAAATAAGACAAATGTCCCACSTATTCCAGGTCAGACACGGARGCGACGATCAGTGATACGTCACGTTCACCTCCACGTAAGTCCTTTTGAGAGAACGAAACAAACGGCKAAGTATGCACGTCCCTTCTTCGACTACCGAGTGACAAAGTACAAGCTGTGCCCTCGTCTACGAGAGCAAGAGTTCGGAAATCTCCAGGGAGAAACCTTTCAAGACTATAGACAGGAGCAAAGCAAAGTTGGACGCTTCTGGTACCGCTTTCCGACGGGGGAATCGGGCGCGGACGTCTTGGATCGGGTCAAGTCGTGGTGGGAGTACAATTTAATCCAGACCAACAACAACCATAATTGTAATCCGTTCGATGACTATGAATGGGATGGCTTCGGAAAGAACGATCATCATTGCGATGCGGTGGTAGTCTTTTCCCATGGATTGACCCTTCGATCGATCCTTTGCCAATTGTTCAAGTGGAGCATCTCTACRTTTCATTCCGTTTACAACGCTAAGAACTGTGACCTTTACGTGCTAAAACGTGATCTAAACAAGCCAGGACATTCTCCTTATGTTCTCGATGGCATTCATGGAGACCTCCCGAAATCGTCGATTGATGTATGCGTGACACTTTCTCGCAAAAAGCCCAAGAATCGAAATAACATCGACCGGGGTCGTAATATTGACAGCAACGAGAGGGATGACAAGGGAAACTGGAMAGAGGAAGAGAATTCCATTCAAGAGGTAAAAATATACAAGCTACTGGATTATCTGAGTATTCCAGCTCCCAGGATGAGYCACACAAAAGAGGTGAAGAATAAACTTGTAGAGCAATATCCAGAACAATTTAAAGGTGGTTCAGCGGATATTGAATCGGTATCTTTCTTACCATTTCATTTATGCAATTCACCAAAACCACGATCTCCACAAGAATAGTGTAATACTTCGTACTTCTCATAGTACGAAGCGAGTACGAAACCTGTATTAAATTCTTCAGGAAATCATACAGCTACAGAAATACTTGTAGGAAATWGACTTGTTGAGCACATCTGATAACAGCTGCAGTATCAGTACCAGACTGAAAAGTCGGATCAGCGTATTCTTCAGASGCTCATCCGGTACCGTACGTACCGGTACGTATGTACCGAGCTACGATCCCAGTATCGTATGTTCGTACGCGTTACAGTACGTACGTACGATAGATTASAGTCACCTATCACGTACGTTACGTACGGTTCAGAGTAGCCTACGTAMCGGTACSTACAGGTACGTACCGGTACTGTAGAAACTTAAAATCCTCATAGATTCTGAGTCGATCAAGTCAATTGAATTAGTTTTCACATACGTGTTCGTCGTCRTGCGTTCGTATGCCCTCCGTATTTTTGGCGCACAGCGGAATGGCTGTAGCGCAATGTTGTTTTCCGACCGCCGTACCGTACGAAATGCCTTCTGATACACTTCAACAACGCTAAAAACGCAGGTTCTGCGCATCGTTGTCGTCCATCCCGCTCACGGTGCTGGAACTYYACGCATCTYAAGAACARCGMCGTCTCCCATTGTTTCTTCGAGCTGTTGCTAGTAATATTAATATAATACAAGATGAAGTTCCAAGTTCTGATCGCTGGTACGTTGTCCTTTCAATCCGGCGGTSCGCTTAGAGTATAGCAGGAGTTGCCATCGAATGCCGTTGGGAATATTTGAATGTCCTCGTTGCATTTCGACGCAGCCTATCATGGGAAGGAAGGAGCAGCAATGCGAGACATGGGAGGTATTTCGGATGCTTTTGTGACTGCAGCACAATCTGCTCTTTGCATTTATCTCAACGATATTACGTAGGGTTAAGGTCTCCCAAATTGAGTTTCAAATGACTTGTTTCCGAGACKGGAAAGAAATCGAAAAATGGGTCTTCTAGAAGTTCTATATTTYAAGTTCTCATCGTTTACGAAAAGTTTGAGGCATTGATCGATACTAACCGCTTTATTTATTTATTCGATTTCTCCTATACACGATCGTCACCGATCTCTTGTTTAACCATGCAATAATCACTATCTTTCTTTTTTCGTTGCGAACGAACGGTTGCAAACAATCACACAATTTCATTGAATTTCGCGTCCACATCAGCTTTGTTCGCCGCCTCCGCTTCGGCCTTCGCCCCAGCACAGACTGGCCGATCGGTCAGTCCCCTTGCTGCTTCCAGTATTCGCGAAGAAGTTGACACCCTCGGAAACAACATTGCTGTCAAGAATTTGTTGGAGGACGTCGAAGCCTCTGGATTGTTGTCCAAGGTTGCCCAATCTGGTTTGCTCTCSAAGGCCCAAGAAGCWGGCCTTTCCCTCTCCAAGYTGGAACCCCTTCTCGCCATTGCTGCCGAAAATAAGGAAGTWCTCGTCTTGGTTGAGGCCGCCACACCAGAGCTCTTGCCTTTGCTTCCCAAGGTTGTTGACATCGCGCCAGGCGCCCTTCCGCTCTTGGCCACTGCCATCACCGTCCCTCCTYCCGCTATCGGCGCTGCTGGAATTGCCTCTTTGGCCGGCGCTGCCGGTGCCATTATCCTCATCCCTGACGATTCCCTTGTGAATGTTGCCGCTCAAACTTTTGCTGCTGGCGCCCTCGGAGGTGTTGGTCTTGCCTCCTTGGCGGGATCTGCCATCCTTGGAAAAGTACTTAAATAGACAAACGAAGCAAAGAGCTACCATGAACACAGATATAATTTGATATTTGTCGACATGAGACAATACACACCCATAAACATAGTAAGTACTGTAGAATACCTTTCTTTTTGAACTCGACAAAAAATTCTAGCAGTTTTATGGTAACGTGTTCGTTCAGTCAGACACGTTTTAGTTGACATCATTCGTATTTTGAGAAGAGTCTTGKGTTCTTCTACAGCATGAAGCAAATACCTCTACTTCGACGGTTGAAAAGAGTTTCCTACAGTCTTCAACAACGGCACTAATGAAAAGAGATAATTAAAGCGGATGATGTTTGTAATAGATGCTAACATGCTTACTAGTTTCATCAAGAATACGAATCGTTCTCGTCTATGGGCAGAAGTTGCACATCAAGGGCGTGTGTCAACCGTAACAAATGATAAATATGTGAATTGTAAGAGRTGCTAACATGCTTGCTTAGATTCATCAAGATTACGAATTGCTCCCGTCTATGGGCAGAAGTTGCACATCAAGGGCGTTAACCGTAAAAAATGATAAATATGTGAATTGAGCAACATTATAGATAATAAATAGAAAAAGTGAAGACTTCCAATCAGCGATATTTTCTCTCTGGTCATCTCTAACTCCCTACGGCTTTTGTTGCTGGATCCTCGTTGATTTTCTTCATTTTGGTTTTTGATTTGTCGTCCTTCCCCTTGGACTTCCCACCGGAATAAGCATCTGGCCCGAACTCATTTGCAATAAATTTCTTGAACGAGGCACTGTACCAACGGTTCTTAATATGATTTTCTGATCTTGTCGAGTTGAATGACTTGGTAGATATTTCGACCCATCTCTTTCCTAGTTTCTTGTGACCTTCCMATAGTTTCAAATCGTCTTCCCGGCTAAAGGGAAGATGGTTAATGTTAGGGTTCAAATGGTTTACCCAACGATCGCGTATTTGCTTCCCTACTCGACCAGGTAAACGCTGCGCAAGATCAGACCATCGTGTGAAAGGCTGTTCTGACGAATTTTGGACTGCATCAATGACAATAGAGTCTTCTTGATCCGTCCATTGTCCTTTACGTACACMAGGTTTAAGGTACCTGATCCAGCGCTCGTGACAATCCTTTGCTGTTTTCCCCATTCCATGCTCCTTTGCGATCGGTTCCCAGTCACGTGGATTCTTATATTTTTTCATGATCTCGGTCAAACGAGTATCGTCTTCTTTGCTCCAGCTGAAAACCCCGGTGCCACGTTTAGAATTAGGATGATTCACACCTTGAGAAGACATGATATAAACMGCAGGTGGAGGTCGACGAGTCAAATGAGGATTGTGGGGCGCCACAAATTCGGGTGGTGGTTGAAAGTTTTGAGGAGGTCGGTGCATGTAATGACGCCCGTGTGGCCCGCCAGGACCTGGTGGTGGAGAAGCACGATGCCCACTATCTTGAGAATAGTTTCGCATAACAGGGGGATAATCACCCATGCGACCGCCCATATATGGCTGGTGYTGTTGTTGGTAGCTAGGGTGCGATTGAGTTGATCCTACAGTACCCCAGGAAGGAGCATGAGGTGGGAAAGCACCTTGGTGACCATGTTTGTAACCACTATCGTGGTAGGCTGGTCCAGGTCCTCGGCCATAGTTGACGTCCACACTGTCAGTTCTATGGAAACCGCTACCACCATGGTAATGCCCACCCTCAAATGATTGGTTTCTAGATTCGATTGCAGGATGATTGTTTTGCTGGTGATGATTCATCCGGTGATTATGCATATTCMCGTATGGCTGTCCCGGGCTCATCGTTGGGTGCTGAGGAGCATTAGGAAGATGGCTATGCATCGTACCTCGATTATCTGCTCCTGKATTTCCAAGATTGCTTTCACTAGCAGGAAGCATTGGGTAGTCTTGAAAACTAAAATTATTGGAAAGACCTTGCCCACCACCAACGCTGCCGCCGCCAAAACTATCCACCGCGTTGATCTCCCATGATGGAATTGACGATACCACGGCGTTCGCAGGATCATTGTTGTCAATGTGCATTTGCCCGGGAGTCAAGGATGATGAAGACGATGATGTTGGTCGAGGAGGTAAAGTCGGGTTAACAGAGTGTTTGTTCTTTCCGCTTCCTCTCGGAATTGGTGGTGCCGAGTCCATAGAGTACGAGTAAGCTGAAGGCTTGTCGTATAGGGAATTATCGCCAAGATTCGGTGAGACATGAAAATCCGCTTTGTTGATGGTGCTAGTTTGTGATGATGGTGCCTTCCGAGTCATGGAACCTTTCTTGGTCATTGCTGCTGACGGGCTGCATGTAATTGATAAAGGTGACTTTTCCACTTTTGACGTATCATTCGACTCAATTTTGACTTTCTTCCTGGGTTTCTCTTCCAAGTCAGGTGGAGCTCTCCGAAGCTCCTCACCTCCCTTTGCAGACTCGCCTTTATCACCGCGTTCTTCTATCTCTCCRTGTTTGTCCTCATACAATAAACCTTCACCACCTTTGGATGGTACAAGATTCAATARGCCACTGCCGTCGCTTGAGCATTTCATCAAGTCCAATGAATCGGAATCTGCGATGCCCGGGCTGGTTGGGTCTGCAATATCAGATGWAGATCTTTTCTTGTTTGAGGCCTCCGTATGCATAGGTGCCTGTGCCGATGCGACGGAAGAAAGTTCATCCAGTGAGGAAGTCTTTTGGATATCATTCGTCTTCGTTGCCGCTACGGCTGCAGCTGCAGCGGCGGCGATGGACTCGGCCAAATTTGCTTGCCTTGTAGATCCATCAGTTGGAGAGTTTGTCAACGAAGAGGAATTGGAGGGAACATCTTCATCCTGATTGCTAGTTTTTGCAGCTCCGCTCTTTTTCAGTCCCAAGYGTTCTTGGATTGCAGAATCATCGACACTATGAACCTGATTCAATTGTTTCCATGAAACATCATCGGACGCCATATATGCATCTCCACGCTGATCTCTGTCGTCAGGGGCGCTAGACTTCTTGCATTCAGATTGTTGGTGTGGTTCAGACCTTTTCGTTGTTGTATTTGGTTTTTCTTTCACACTACGATCGAATGATGTAGATACAGATCGACTGAATGCACCAGTATTTACTCCGGCGTGATGCTCTACAGGTGGATATCCATGGTTCTCCCGAGCGTAATGCTGATCGGGAGCACGGCCTGSTGGATACTGGCTCACTCCTGGAGGATAGTTCGGTGGTGGACCACCACCATATGAAGGCCCATTTCGTGGATCTGCTTGATAGTTATTGTATGATTGAGTCGGGTAGGGCTGCTGGGGATATTGGTGCTGACCTCGTATGTGCTGCGAATGGCGTCCATCGTAGCGTTGCCCAGGGGGGTGCGAAGGCGGCATTGACATGTGCTGAGGTGGTCCATAATCATTGTATCCACCACGTTGATCATAGTATCCAGGAGGAGGGCCATGTGGTGGATATCCACCAGGTCCCCGTCTGTTGTAGTAAGGGCCCCCATTGTGCCCTCTACGGTCCCCGTATGCTGCCGCGCTACCTCCTGCTCCACCAGGAGACACATGAATGGGTGGATTTTGACTGTAATATTGATCATTCGGGCGAGAATGTGGCGGGGGTTGCCTTCTAGAGTCATGGGGTTGAAATGCCCCGTTGCCACCTACAGGACGGCCTTCATAGGGAGGATAAAACCCACTATTTCCGTGCGGTCCTCCCTGACCATGCTGCGGTACACGTCCGCTGGTTGGTGCTCCATTSGTCGTTTTATTCGCGTGTTTTGGCGTTCTGGCGGTCGTTGTTGTCCCTTCCAAAGCAAGAGAAGGTTTTTCTCCATGTAATTTATTGGAAGAAGTTTCGACTGTAATTACCTGAGGAGGGGCAGCTTTGCTAGCAGCAGTACCTACCTCGGCATCACTTTTAGCAGGAGGAGTTGAACCACTGCACTTCTCCATCTTTGACCCGTTTTTTCTTCTCCAATTCCGATGAATACCAGGTCCGTTTGATGGAGTGATCTACTAAAACAAAACGGCCACGATGAGTTTATTGCAAGGTTGCAAGGTATGAATAGTTTGGGGTGAGATAAAACGGATGTCGTTCGATTTGCGTTTCGACCCACAACGCTAGAATGCAGTAGYACCTGGCTTCCCAGAGGACGAGGAGCACTGTTGAAAGTTTGTCAACCGACGTAACGGTTTCGAATGAATCGATGTTTGTTATTAGGCAGGTCTCTCTTAGTGGTGTTCCTCATCCAACAACTGTCTCAATTAGAGGGTATTTCAAAATCAAGAAACGGTTTGGATTGCGCGCCGGGCGGTTTAAAGATTTAGAAAAATTATCATGTCACACATGTGATTCAGACACTCGCGACTAAATAAATTTCGAGACGGGCGAGAAAGAGAAGAGCCACGAATCCGCGCCGCCGATTCTCAAGGACGGGAAAGCGACGAATGCSAAGTACGGTACGGTGTGATACGATACGATAAAATAGTTGCTGTTTGTCCACCGACAGCAATGTATCACCAAACTGAGGATGAACGGAACGATAGACGATGGATTGTCACTACTCACTTCTTTCTGTCTCGGCTTYCCACTTGCAAGGATTTGATTTTCGATCTCGGACCTGAGTCGAAAACGGTGTGCAAGGGATGGGGTGGTTGACTTTTTGAATGTCACAATACTGAMCTTTTCAATTGGAGCACTAATAGTGCCGTTGGGCATTGCGTTGGGGGGGAGTTGTTTGCGTTGAAACAGTCGCGTTGAAGTGATGGAAAAAGGTTCGAAAACAGGAGACGCTAAACGGATCGCAGTCGTTGTGGCGATAGTTTGCTAGGAGTCGCACATAATCGGCTCTTGATATTCGTACTCAGATCCGTATTTATTATTATAAATCTTTAACGGTAGAGGAACGGCCAGTGAATCATCACATTCCCATAAATCGCCAAATTTCTAGTCACGCCCAAAATAAGAGGGGATTTTTCGTTTCCTAATTAGGTACCCCTTTTTCYTAGTCTTGTTTGAAGCAATCGTGCAACGACTGGAGAACACTAGAACTCTAGAACTGGYAATCGTGGTTTTTCTATTTTTGTTCACCKGAAACTAGGTTCAGGAACTTGTTCTTYTTTCTTTCCTTCTCAAAAATAGTAGAAGTACGTGCTTCCTCCGTCCCGAAATGAGTGTACCCTGTGCACCTTGTCAAGTGAAATAAGCTGAACATATTGCCGATTTGGATGGTTCTAAATATCACTCTCTMTTTRTTTCCATCAGCATACTGAAGTATTGSACACTTTGCATGTTGACACAAAGTCTCCATTTGAAATAGATCATCGTAGAAATCGAGAGTGATTGCTTCACTATAAAATTTCAGTGTTTCTTAAAAAATTTAAAAGATGATATWATAATAATTAAGTTTTCTTTCTTCATGGGGCCCACAATTTACAGTTGAGAAAGAACTTCGTCAGCGATTGCGATTGTCTTCTCAATGTCTTCATCAGTGTGTGACATCGACATGAAACCAGCTTCGTACATGGAAGGAGCAAGGTAGACACCTCGTTCCAACATGGCTCGGTGCCACTTGCCGAATTTCTCTCCATCGCTCTTAGCAGCTTCGGCGAAGTTCTTYACCTTTTCTTCGGAGAAATACCATCCGAACATACCTCCGGCCCAGTCTCCCTGGATGGAGTGTCCGTGCTTCTTTCCGGCTTCCATGATTCCTTCGACGAGCATCTTGGATTTGCGTTCAAGTTCGTCGTAGACACCATCCTGGGATAGCTTCTTCATTGTTTCGATACCAGCAGTCATGGCCAATGGGTTTCCGCTGAGGGTACCGGCTTGGTACATAGGTCCAGCAGGAGCAACCTGTTGCATGATGTCCTTGCGTCCACCGTACGCACCGACGGGGAGTCCACCTCCAATAACCTTACCCATGGTAGTAACATCGGGTGTGACACCGAAATATTCTTGGGCACCTCCGTAGGAAACACGGAATCCGGTCATGACCTCGTCGAAAACAAGGAGGGATCCGTTAGCGTCACACATTTCACGGATTCCCTGCAAAAATTCCTTGGTAGGCTTGATGAATCCGGAGTTTCCGACAACGGGTTCGAGAATGACAGCTGCGATCTCATCCTTGTTTTCTTCGAAAATAGCCTTCACAGAGTCAATGTTGTTGTATTCTGCGCAGAAGGTGGCCTTGGTGGCGGCCGAAGGGACACCAGGAGAGTCCGGGAGACCCAAGGTGGCAACACCAGATCCGGCTTGTACAAGGAAGGCATCGGCGTGTCCGTGGTAGCATCCCTCGAACTTGATTACCTTTTCGCGTCCGGTGTGGGCACGGACCAAACGGATCATTCCCATGCAGGCCTCGGTACCAGAGTTGGTGAAACGAACCATTTCAACAGAAGGGACAGCGTCGATGACGGCCTTGGCCAACTCGTTTTCGAGAGGGCATGGAGCACCGAACGAAGTTCCCTTTGCCATAGTCTTGGATACGGCTTCCAAAACATCATCGTCAGCGTGTCCAAGAATGGCAGGTCCCCAGGTTCCGACGTAATCGATGTACTTGTTGTCATCGACATCCCAGGCATAGGCACCCTTCACGTGATCAAATACGACCGGATTTCCTCCGACGGACTTGAATGCACGCACGGGGGAAGAAACACCACCAGGCATCAACTAATTTTTTTCGACATTTCAGGAGATGCAAGAGTTTGAGTGAGTACTAAGCTCTTTGACGCAATATCAGTGTTCAATTCGAAATCGACGGATTCTACGCTTCTGTGGCGGCAASAAAACTACGATGAAAATAAGAACTTCGCATGAAAGCGGAGATCAACTYCTTCTAGATTTTCAATTGTCCGATACGTACATCGAGAGCTTCCTTGAAAATCTCTTCACTCTTGGTAAAGGTGTAAGTTTCAGTGGCGGTGCTGGAAAGAGCAGAGGCAGTTCCAGTGACCTTGGCGGGAGCGAAAGCGAATGCCCCTCCAACAGTGGTGGCGGCCATCATGGCGGTGACTCCGGCGGAAAACTTCATCGTATCTATATTTGAATTGTATTGGATGTTGGTTGTTATGAACAAGTGCAGTGAGGCGGAAGSYACAGTCGAAAAGCGAACGATGAAGAAAGGTTTCTCTCTCAACTGATGACGATAGGCACTACTAAAATCTTTCGTCGTGTGATRGATTTTGTTTTCGTTTTTCTGACGATCACCAACTCCAAGTTGAACATGAGCTAGCAAAGAAAATAACCATCCACGTGTAGCCAAAAATTAGAACGCAATTTATTTGACTCGTTGGACTAAATGTAAGTTGAAACGGCAAAATATCCCAAAAATACCGGTACGAAGCGATTTCACGTAGTATCCTTTTCTGAGATATCCCTCTTGGACTGCACAAATGTTAGATAGTACTAGCTTTGGACATGGAAAACGTTCTGGAGTGCATGATGATAATGTTCTTCTTTGTCTGAAAAACAGTTCTAGCTGATAACCATTTGTGTTCTTCATAACTTAGTCACAACTTTCATTGTACTAATGTAAAAGTTGTCCAACAA